CAGAGCACAAAATAAAATGTATAAGCATTTCATTGAAAAATATGAAGCAGAAGTTTGCTTCATATTAGCCGGATGCTTTTGTTTAAAACAAACTTTTTCGGAAATGATCCTTTTAAGGATTCGAATTAGTTCCTGTCTAAATTGAACTTGTCAAACAAACAATTTAAAAAAAGTTTTGTAATAAACTTAGAGTTTGAGGTCTAAATTGAATGAAAAATAATGTGTTGAGCGATCAACTACCTTGCTTCCAAGTGCTCTTTGAATATATTCAATCTACGACTATTTTGGCAGATTTACTACAAACAAACCTCGAGTTTGTACACCCTTGGGCAGAAAAATTTTAAAAAGATTCAATCTTCTATTATTGGATGTATATAAAGGCAAGGTCCGATACACTCAAAGATTTGTGGGTATGAAGCAAATTAAGAAAATTTTAAAAGGAATTGAGAAATGCTGGGTATATAGCATTACTGGACCGCTATTTATGCTAACACATTCCTATAGACGAGTCCGCCCACGTGCGACTGCGCATTACCTGACTGCTATAATGCGATGGACTTGACAGCTTTCCAAGACGAATGCCTTCGCCTAGAGAATTCCTGTCGCTTGAGCCATACGCTGACTTCACACATAAGGAAATGTCAGCATGGCCCAGCGATTTGCCAAGGCTTTTGCTAATTTCTTTACTTCTCTAATACTCTCTTATTCACTGAATGTAGAATTAAATCTCTATTAATCATGCTGGAAATTTTGGCTCTGAAACTGATCTTTTAGCTCAAAACGCTTCAAGTTAAAAATTTTTTAAAGTAATTTCGATTCGACACTTGAAGTTTTTCTTGTTTCTAAGCAGCTCTAAAATAACTTTTCGAGCCAGTGTATTGCTCAAGTTGGTGGTAGTTGGTTTGGAAGGTCTCTTTGTCTTGGGTCTCTTGGTCTCTTTCTGTTTTTAATTAAAATAATGCTATCTGAAACTGTAGCAAACCTTCTAATAAATTTTCTTAATAATTTACGGTAGAAAAGTTTAACCAAACATCTGTAATAAAAGTATAGACCAAGTTCTAAAAATCGTTTCGTCCTAGACGATACAGAAGAATATTGGCTATTTTACCAATTAATCATCAACAAATCAACAACCATACAGGCAAAACAATTTAGAAGATTAAAAATCAAAACATCAAAACTAAGAGTTTCGCTGTTCGATCTCGAGCTGTCAATATTTTCCCCAATCAATTTTCATTGACAACAGCGCGTGTTACTCTCTAATTTTAAATTTCTTTCTCTAATGCCATCTGACGGAAATTGAAAAAAAATTTTCCATCGATTAAGCAATTTAATAGAGAGGTAAATTGATTTGAAAATGCGAATTAAATTTTATAAAATTAAATAAAATTTTAAACAAAACTTCTCTAAATGGAGTTCAGGCCCCTGAACAATCTGTCAGTGACAAACTCCTACCGCTAATGTAGGGGATTAATGAGATACCGTATTTACTCGATTAATTCCCCCGGGGAATTATTTTTTCAAACCATCCGTGGCATGGGCAATTTATAAGGGTGTGGAATTGTTCGAGTTTTGAAATTTGAACGTGTACTAGGGTATTCAAGGGTGGGGAATTATTTTTTCAACTCATCCCTGGCATGGGGATTAATAGAGGGTGGGGAATTAATCGAGTAAATACGGTATCGGGGAATTTGTATATTAAGTGGGATAAAGGGACATCGGAATTAAGGGATATTGTTGCATCAAGAGCTAGATCTATGGAGTGTAGGTGAGGAGCTTGTGCAAAGCGCGGAGCGCTGGGCTTTGCCGCACGTGCCTCGTGGGAGTCTACGGTCGCTGAGTTCTACAACAGTAACACAAACCTATATCTTTTCCATTTTCAGCCTTGATCTGACGACCTACCCCCGTCACAAAAACTGATTGGACTCATAAACTATGACAAATAAGTTTACACTAGTTTACTGTTGCAATCAGAGACAAGTGCAAAATGCAAAAGAAACAGTGGTATGCCAAGTTCGAGATGCAATTGCGGATTCAACAAATACGAACTACCGGCATGTAGGATGTTTTCTGGGATGTGTTCTGGCATGTGTTCCTTATGTTTTCTGGGAATATGTTTTCCTTATGTTTTATGGGAATAAAACATGCGAAGGAAACAGGCGATCGCGATCTTGAGTTGCCAATATTTTCCAATCAATTTGTATTGTCAACGCGTGTTACTCTCTCATTCTCTCATTTAAAAATTCCTTTCTCTATTGCCATCTGACGGAAATTGAAAAAAATTTGCTATCGATTTTGTAATTTAATAGAGAGGTAAATTGATTTGAAAATGCGAATTAAATTTTTAAAATTAAATAAAATTTTAAATGAATTTTAAATTAATTAAACTCCGCTAAAATATAAGGCGGAATATTCAATTTTTAAAACATTGCTGGTTTACTGTAAACAAAAAATTTGTTTGGAAGTAATTTTTGTAGCACTTATTTGGTGATGAGATTTCGCTAGTCTTTTATGACTTTCTACTCTTAGAAGTATAATATGTATAAGCAGTTCGAAAAATAAGTCATTTTTTATAATTTAGACATGTTAGCCCGGTGCAGGGCGTTTGAAAAATGTTAGCCTCTTATGTTGTTTTTATGTTGTTTTTGACGGGTTAGTAATTTATAAAATTAGTTGTTACTCTTTATTTTCTGTTTCTATATAAGATTTTGTATAGAGTGAGGTTTAATACATGTTAATCTTGAGAACTTGCTAATTTTGAGAATCGAATTCAACAATTATTAATTTCAAAAGGATTTAGATCAACCTAACAGACATGTTTTATAATCATTATACCTATAGTATTTATCAAAATTAAATCTCAAAATATTTTTTCAAATGCTTTCTGTGAATGTTTTCAAAACAGAATGTTTCAAACAAACATTCATCCTAAGTGTTTCAAAATACCGTGTATCTTTCTAAAATTTATCGTCTACTGGATTAACAAAGGCACCTTAAACGGCGCAGAATTATAACATGAAAATATGTTAAAATATGTAAAAATTTTAAAATCACTAAATGAAACAGAATTCCTAAAAATAAAAAGTTCCCTAAAAAAATAAAATTACTAAGACTACATAAAAGAAAATAATGAGAGAAAATAATAGAAAAATCGTCAATGATATTCGAAACTGTTTCTTACCCAACATTTTCAAATATCCGGGTTCACTCTAATCAGTATGTCCAGTTGAGTTATGTCTTAGTTTGAGTGATTAAAAATTTTCTTGTGATAGGATTCCGGATGATACCGTCATTCTGACGGTATTTTTCCGTGTTAATCGGTATCAGTATTTTAGTACGGAATACGGTAAGGACCGAAACTTCTGGCTGTACTAATTATGTCGGTGAAACCCCATATCGTTATAATAGAAACTACATTTCTTTTTACGATCAGAAGAAATATAACCGAGCTAAATATGGATAATACAGAGGTATAAGACGATAATTCTATTACTCGGTAAAATTTCGATATAAAAAAGACCCGAAAACATCTTCAAAAGTTTTCAAAACATCAGTCTTCTAATTTAAATTAAACCTTCCACCAACGTTCATTGTCATAATCTTCATCTTGATTATACACAGTGTTACCATATGGGTCAGGCATTGGAAAAATTGAAGTTGTTCCTCCTATAATTATATTATTAGAATTTACAATCTAAATATATCTAAATTCAAGGAGAAAAGCATTGATAAGAAATAGGCCCCAATTTGCAGATCCTAGCTCTATTCATTTTACGAAAATATTAGTGATTTTCGTGAATGGTAATTTACCGAGACTTGGGAACTGAGATCGTGACCGAGAATTAAGACCGAGACCTGGACGTTAAATCAAGACGTAAAAACAGAGAACAATCTCGGATCATGACTCGAGATTAAATTTTTTAAAATTTATGAAAACTTTGGACTTTTTAAAAGATTTTTAACATTTAATTGAATCGAAGTACGAAAAGTTCTTGTATGGCATGGTCTTTTATTTATTCAAAATTAAAGGCATTTTGAGGGATTAAAGGGGATATTAATGGATTAAGGGGCATATTGTTGATATAAGTGGATTTGGGATGCGTAAGGGTGGTTTGAAGAGATACCCAACTTTTCTTGAATCAGCCTATCAATTTTTTGATACCATTTCCCTTCACTATGACAGAATTACATGTATGTTCTCGTCTAGAGGCGGTTCAAAACCTTTCGGATAATAAACTATATTTAATGTACCGGTATTTGAAGAGCCTGCATCATTGTTTGGTGCTTGTGGAACATTGTGCACAGAACCATGCTGAGCGTTTAATCCTTGATGATGTGGTGGATATGGATAAGGTGGAGGGTATTGTGGTGGATATGGATAATGTTGCGGAGGGTATTGATATCCTTGAAAATTTTCATTATCTCCATACATTTGATGATCTCCATGAACTCCAGTCTGAAATGGTTGTGGAAATGGTCCAGGCTGAATTGGATGTGAAAATGGTCCAGGCTGAATTGGATGTGGAACTGATCCATACTGAAATGGTTGTGGGAATGATCCAGTCATCGATTCTTGTGGAAATAAAGGCGGAATATTGCCTGAGCCTTGAATACCAGACCAGTTGCTGTGATCAGAACTTGTCCCTTGAATGCCGTCGAAGCTCTGGCTTCCAACACCAGTAAGTGTATGGGTATTTGCTGGATAATTATCACTATCTAAAATTTTATATGTAATTTATTAACATAATATACATTTAACCTTCTTCACCATCATTATCCTCACCGGGGTTACTTCTATGCATTGGCATGCTAGAGTTTCTGCGCAAATTTTTCTTCGCTTTAGCAGAATTACTTTTTTCTTTTAAACCTTTACTTCCAGAATTTCGACCTTGATGACTGGAACTCGGAATATCGACGCTGGCTCGATGAGGAGTTTGTCGGCCTCTATAATTATTCAGTATTCATAGAGAAATTATAAAATACCCGTAATTAAATTAACTCTATATAGTGAAAAACGATTCAGATTCGATATCACTAAATAGAGTGTTATATAATAAAATTACGTACACTCCTTGTCTTTCCATTGGTCTTTGTGCATTAGATTTTCTAGGTCGAGGGATGTTACTAGGAGCACTACTTTCAGGCTGATCATCAATATCGTCAAAATTCAACCTAAATATTTTTGTTAAATTGCTTTTTCTAAAATAAGAATCACTTTAGCCCTTCAAATCCTGCAAAACTCTTTCTAGACTTAGTTCCACCAGTTGTGGAGCTTTCAGCTTCTTCCAAATTTAAATGCGCAAAATTAGTCAGCAAATTCATTGGCGTTCGAAATCCTTCTTCCATAGAACCAGAAAAGTCTGCCAGCTGTACGAAATTTATGTTTGTTTTTTTATCCTGCACCTTCATAAAATCAAAGATGTAGGTAAATTCCTGACCAGTGCCATTCTAAGGTTTAGGTATTTTACAATTTAGTCTTTTCAATGGAACTAACCTGCAAAACTGGGTTAGCAATTTTGCGGCAAAGTTTTGGAAGAGGTATTTCTACCTTGTCCATTCTATTAAAAAATTAGTTTTAGAAAAAAACTGAAAAACTACTAACCTCCAGTCACTATCATCTTGCATTGAATGAAAGCATTTAGAGCAAGTATTACTCCCTGACTAAAGATTAAAAATTAAAAAAAATAAAATCAGATATACATACATTTAGCAGGTATATTTCATTGAAATATTTATCAACTTTACAAAAGTGACATTTAATTCTCTAAATTTAAAAAATAATTTTAATAATTTGAAAATTTTAAATAATAGATACTAAGTAACCTTCTCAATACAAACATCTAATACAGGGATTTCCTTGGATTGAATAAATTCTTCTATGCTTGACAAAGTTTGCTGGGTTTCAGTTGCACGGGGAGATTCTGCTTTGCCAGGCGAATTTGACGACATTTTTTCATTAAACGATTGAGATTTGCCGAATACAGCTTTGAGTTTAGACGGAGTAGACGCCAAATTTGAAAGGCTCCTCATAAAAGGCTTTTTTGACTCAGTTTTGTCCTTTTTTGACTCGGTTTTGTCAAAAGATTTTGATTTACTGAATGGTGATTTGCCTCCACGCGGACTCGTACGCGGACTCGTAACCAATTTTGTTACTGTTTTTATGATAGAACTTTTAGCTTCTTTAGCTAAACTCAATTGAAAAATTCTACTGTTTAAATCATCATTGTCTATTACTATCTCTTCTTCGTATAATGGTTTCGATGAAAATTGGGATAAAAAGCCATCTTGTGTTTTTACGATTGCAAAATACTTTTCTCTTTTACCTTTATCTTCTGCGTTATTTAACTGAAAAATTATTACAAAATTATTTTCATAAGTTATAAATATGGATGGGAAAAACACGCAAATGCATATTTTGTATGCGGATATGTCTTGAGGTAGGAAGCAGGGATGTGCCGAGCACTTTCGCCTTTTTTTTGTTTTGCCTTTTTTGGCATTTTATCTTTCGTCTTTCGCTTTTAAAATTAACTGATAAAGTCCGGCCCTGCGTTTTTCACAATTTAAAAAAAGTTTCGTGTTTTTGTCTTTCGTCTTTCGCTTTTTACAGGAGACTTTCGCCTTTTCGCCTTTCGCCTTTCGCCAAAAAGGCGAAAGTCTCTTGTAAAAAACGAAAGACAAAAACACGAAACTTTTTTTAAATTGTGAAAAACGCATGGCCGGACTTTATCAGTTAATTTTAAAAGCGAAAAACGAAAGATAAAATGCCAAAAAAGGCGAAAATTCGGCGAAAGGCGAAAGTGCTTGGCACATGCCTGGTAGGAAGGCAAAAATGGTGTTTTTATATTATCCGAACAATTTAGGACCGGCTATTGATGCATATTTTTGCATATTTCGGCATTCTCATGCATATTTGCGCATTTTTTAGCAAATTTTAGTAAGTAAAAGTTGGCGAAAATTTCAAAATCTTGAAATTTTTTGGTAAAAAAATTTTATATAAAAATATTTTTTGATAAAATTTTGTACTTTTTCGGTGCATATCTATGCGCATATTTGGCGATTTTGCTTGCATATTTTCCCTTCCATAATTATAAATAATTTATAAATCTGACTTGAATGTTTAAATATAAATCATTTCCTTCCATGCGGATGTATTGTCCAAAATGGAATTGGTGCACTTTGGTGAAATCAAACACATTTACTTCATATTCTACTGTTTTCCCAGTTTTTCTGGATGTCTTCGTCTTGTAGCGTCCTTTTTCGACCGGGTACAGAGTCCATGTTTGAGACTTTTAAATTAATTATTTAAATATAATAATTAACAAATTATTAATATAGGTAAGCCTTTCAAATAAAAATCTCTTCCATAAAATCTTTAAAGAGATTGAACAGACTCTTCCAGCAAGGAAAATGGCAAAAGCTATGATAAATTTGCTTATCAACTAGGGGAAACTTCGACAAAAGACAAAATAACCCTAATTAAATTTGTTTCTCGACAATGTTCTAGAAAACTCTATTTCGCGATTGTAAGAGTCGTCCAATCTCTTAAAACAATCGCAGAATTTCCATGGGTGAGACCATTAAAAGGCAAATTAAATTTACCCGTCTATGACCCAAAATTTCCTGACCAGAAGTTATCTCCACAATTAAACTGTTGATCGGTTCATTTTGATCAAGGTCGAATTTTAGAATGCCTCCATTTGTAAGCTTAAAAACGTTTATAAAGTAGTAATTTTTATTGTTTGAATTTTTAATCGTATTTTTGAGCTTTAAGCCTCGCCTTTATAGGAAACTTAAATACCGTATTTTCTTGATTAATTCCCCCTCTCGATTATTTCCCCATGCTAGAGATGGGTAGAAACAATAATTCTCTGACCCAAATATCCTAAAGCACGTTCAAATGCCAAAACTCAAATAATTGCCCTCCTTTGATTAATTCCCCATGCCAAGGACGGGCTGAAAAAATAATTTTCTAAGGAACTTTCGCGCTATGACTTGCTTTCTTTTTAAATAATATGTATTTTATTCCTATTAATCCTATTATTCTATTCCTATCAACTTAAATTACCTGACTAATAGCATGGCTATCATCAGCAGAATATTTAACCGAAACGGCCCAAATATATCCCTCAGGAAATACTTGGACTTTGAATATATTTTGCTCTCCTTCAACAAGTTTAATAAACAAGTATTGAAGGATAAATAATAAAAGAACCATTGGCTCTTCGAAGGAATTCAAGCTTTTTTTCTTTTAAAAGTTTTTTTAAAAGTTTTTTTTTAATTTTAAATGATTTAAATGGCAATAAAGTAAATAAGCCTGCTGTATTTATGCTATAAAATTTTTCAAAGGGGCTTTACGAGAAGGGCGGATAGACGTTAATTCACTTTAAATAAATTTTTCCCCATAGGTAAATTTCTCTCTCACCATTAGCAAGTCTCTCTCTCATTTAAATGGAGAGAGGGTTATGAAATGCATGGAGGGCTAGTGAAGGGGTGGGGGGGGGGGGGGGGGGGTGAGGGATTGGCTGGCAATTTTGCTTACATGTATGTTTGAAATTTTTCTTTAACGTCTTCCCCTAAAGATGTTTGCCTTGAGATAAGACTTGGTAATCCGTCAAGCGATACACGTGAATCAGGCGTTGTTGTAGATTCTTGTTTACATACGTGGCAAATTGGCATTGATTATTTCTCTCAACATCTCTTTTAGATGGAGAGAGAGGGATGGAGAAAGAGCCCTCAATGCATTGAGGGCCTAGTGGATGGTTGGGCAGGAAATTTTGTCTAACCTCCTCTGTATAGCTTTGAAATTTTTCTCTGCCGTCTTAACTTAAGGATTTTTGCCTTGAGATGAGCCTTGTGAATCCGTCAGGCGATACACGTGAATCGGTTGTTATTGTATATTCTTGTTTACATACGTTGCAATATGGGCTTTGATTATTTATATTTATTTATGAAAACAAAGATACAAAAGTCTATAGCTTTTAAGAAGCCGAATACAATTTTAAAGTCAAATTTTAAAATAATTTTATAAATATTTTTGTATAAATTTGTTCGGCTCTAGACAGGGTTGTTGTCGGGCTTTGTTGACCTCGCAACTGTTATGTCCGGGGATTTGTCCGAGCTTTGTCAAGTCAACTCGTTTTAAATCCACAGATATTCGTGGAGGATATTACTCAACATTTACACGGATTTGAAAAGATACGGATATCGACATCACGGATATATTCGGATAAGGAAAGCATAATCCGAGTTCATGAACATTATTTTTGCTGTGGATTCTTGCTGTCCAACTTGCTGTGGAAAAATTCGTTGGATGTGAGAACCATCATGCAAAAGGCCCAAACCGAGGCACAACCAACGCGATATTGGGTTATTTATTTTCATTTATGTTCTTTCTGCAAGTGCTGACACAACAAACATATTAGCTTCTTTCAAAGAATTTAATCAAAAACATATACGTTTATTTTCATCATTATATCCATTTATTAAAATAAAATCTCAAAATATTTTTTAAAATTTATCCATCAGAACACAAGCAAGAACAAATTATTAAATACAAATAACAAATTTTCCATGGCAACAAAAACAAAAAACTGCCTCTCTCGTTAGCTAATTACCATTTTGCGTGAAGCAGAGAATTGCAGGTTGGTTTTGTGTGAGGGAGGAACGTGTGCATGAAAGAGGATGAAGAAAATCTTTTGAAATTTATTAAAACAAAAATTTTTCTTTGTTATTTTATTCTTTAACTAACATTATTCTTATGTTTTATCCGAAAAATTTGTTTTTTGTACAAAATAATTCGCATATTTAAAATTTTTTAAAAAATTCGCGATTTATCCAAAGAATAAAAATGCAAGAACGTTTGGGAGATCCAGCTAGCAAGCATTAAAACGCTTGCTACACGTGGGTTTAAAATCTGTTAAAAAAACATGAAAGTGTTCCTCTATCTCATTTGGTAGCGTCACTGTAGCTCAGTTACTAGGACTGGAACACTTAGTAATAAACACAGTGGGTTGAAAGTTCGATGCCTTTCCTGGCTTAACCTTTACCCTTCTTTTAATGAAATTAAGTCGAGTAAAATTAATTTTTGTATCATTGAGTAAGTCTAAGCTGAAACTTTTTTTAATAATATTATGGCTATTTAGAAGTTTCAGTCTCTTAAGGATCAAAGTTTCAGCTTCTTATTTTACTGTAAATTCTCCTTGTTTCACGTTTCCCGTTCCTTGAAGCATTTCAATTTTCTTGAAGCATTTTCAATTAGGCATTTCAATTTTTAGTCTGTTTCATTTTGAATTTTCTGATACAAACTTCCTTAACATAACCTATTAAACAAAACATTATTTTTAAATTTACTCTAATAGACTTCTTATTAAATAATTTTTTTAAAATTCTCTCCCCCTATTATTATTTGACATATGGATTTCTTTATCGATCATTTCAAAAAAATTCAATGGCAATAGCTATATGGCCTTTTTCCCTCTCAAATTTTAAATTTTATTCAATAAAATTTATAACAAATCCCCCATGCTTTTTCCTCTTCTTAAGGTCTCACTATTTTGCCAGAATCTGTGACATTTGCTGTTTCTTGTAGAGGGGGGACCTTGAAGATCCTGGAGGAAAATCATGCTTAATAATATCTAGTTTTTAACTTAAAGCAAAAAAGACTCATTCTTCTCGCAATTTTTGCCTAAGCAATAATTTTAAGGGCTATATTCAAAGATTATCATTAAAAATTTTTTTATTTCTATTTTTGCTTTAAGAGATTACTGTTATATCCTTAGGGCGCGGCCCAACAAAGTGACTAACAGAATAACACGAGAATAGATTAAGCAAATATATTAGGCAAAAAAATTATTAGGCAAAAATACTAAAAGAAGGCGGCAATGGTTTTCAAAGATACCTGCCAAGACTTTAGCTAAAACCTTCTTTCATAGACAGACATATACCTAACAATTAGGCATAACTTTGATCTTACCGTGAATATTTGTTTTTGGCGGAGTGAGTCAAATTATTAAAACAATCCTTCTGTTAATTGTTATTGTTTGTAATTTTTTCTACTTTTTAAAATTTAAATATAAACTACATAAATTTACGCGCGATGTCAATGCTTCCATGTGACTCTCACTTCAACTCTCGCTGCCAATGAAGAGACCACCTACGCACTCCCCTCTAAATTCCCTCTATTAATGCCAACATAAATTTTTTTATATTTATCAATGCCCTTTTATTATTAATTTTATTAAAGCAATAAACAATTAAAAAATTTTTAACTGGAATCCCCTAAGAAATATGTTGGTTGTTCATAATTAATAAGTTAATATAAGAATTAATATAAGAATTAAGTTAACAATAAGAATCAAGTGGTAAATGTCCAGTTGACTCCCTGGATGACTCCCTGCGCACTACTCTCCCATTGCATTTTGCGTGTCCTTAACCCTGCTTTAATACCGTATAACCGTTATTAATTGCCCTCCCTCGAGTAATTACCCCACTTCCATTAATTACACCATCCGACGATAGATTGAAACAATAATAACCCAAACTAAATGCCTTAAATCACGTTCAAATTTCAAACCTCGTATAATTACCCTCCTACGATTAATTACTCCCTTCAGCGGAAGTTCTAAACAATAATTACCCAGGGTAATTATTAAAGGATATACGGTAATTAAAGTCTAAACTTACAAAATTTAGTCTAGTGTATATTTGATTTTTTAATTGTAAAATAACCATCAACAAAATACAATTTAAAATGACAAATAAAACATCCGAAGGAATTAACAGTAATGATGGCCAGGCTGTGAAGACAGTTGCATCATTTCGCGCAAGCTTCTTTAAACAGTAAACTCATTATGCTTAATCCTATACAATATTAAACTTTAAAGTGTTGGACGTACACAGTCCCTAAGCTCTTCTAAAACATCAGGAAGTGTTGAATCTGATGAAGGTCCTAAGAACGAGCAAGCAAAGGTCAAAAACATTCATGTTTCTGACGTTACGCCTCCGCCTGGTTTTGAAAAGGTTGTACGGAAGGCTTCAAGAAAGCAAGACAAACAGACTATATCTGATGAAGAAAAATGTTTTTCTATGGCCAAGCATAATATCTTAATGAAAACACATAACAATCATCAATCCGCTGGGGATTTAACTCAATACATCAATCCGGATTTATTAATGTTTGTTTTAACTTTGAATTTAACTTAGAGTTCAGCGGGATCGGGACCCCGGTCGGGATCGGGCAGGATTATCCCGGGTTTTTCTAATCCCTATCCCGATTTTTCAGATCCTGAGACCGAAAGATGAATCCCGATCCCGATTTCGGCCAATACCAGTCCCGTGTCCGGATCGGGATTAGTATCACTATTCCAAAATCTCGAGTTCGGTTTTTCTCTAAATCCCTATATCGCTGAATCCTAATTGAAATTTATCATTTCACTAATTTAGCGGCCGCCGTTCTTCTCTCCATCAAACTCCAACAGATCCCCTAGATAAGAAAATACGCCAGAAAGAAGCTTATAAAACAGCAATGTGTCAGGTTAATAATTATTAAGCTACAAGGTTTCATAAACTTTTAAGGCGTGGCTTCAAGGGAGATGCTGCGCATTCGGCGAACAATGTGGTTTTGCTCATGGCGAAGAAGAGTTGCAACCTTTACCGTTTGTAAACTTTGAGAAAGAGAGTTCACTTGCAATTAATTTTAGACCGAACCGGCAAAATCCAAAGTTTAAGACTCGGATTTGTGAAAACTATACTACAACAGGTATATGCCCTTTTGGCAATAGATGCTTCTTTATTCATCCACAACCGAATGCGAGTATTGACGATGTGCTTGAATATAAAGAGGTTTTACTTAAGCTCCTGATCTTGATGAAAACATATTTATAGGCACTTGATCAAAGAGCGCGCCAACTCGAAGGAAGGGCTATTATTCAGCATGAGGAAGTCGTGATTCCTCTTAATCAGATTGTTGCCAGTCCGAAAAGTAGTAAAAAGCCAAAACAATTGAGAAAACTGGAAAGTTGTGGTGATGTTAGTTATTAGCCATTATTGCTTTAATATTTCTATAGTGGGAGCATTGATGGGTATGGAATAGTAAGAAGCTACTCCTCAGCACGGAGCAAAAATTTTGCTAGATCCGAGCCCGGGGCCAAGAACCTCCAGATCCATCACTGGTTAGGAGATTAGTCATTGTTTAGCTACCTGGCAGTGAGCAGACATGTAACCCTGTTGATTAATTTCCCAAATTAGCTCCCTTATAATCCCCTAGGAAGCAAAAACATAGATAAAATTCGAATTTCAAATATTCAACGATTAGAGATCCCTTCCTAAGTTACAGTAATTAATGTAGATAAATTCAAACCTTGAGTCCAATAATTCTCATGGTTTCCCATTATTTTTCAAGTTTTACACTCAATTCCAACTTTCACAAATGCAACAAAGATTGGCACTTGAACAGCAAATTCAAAATGAAGCTCAGGCAATATTTACCGCTGGAGTGTTGGCGCAAACGGCAAAAACATTGGAGAATAGAGCGATAGAACTTGAAATAAAAAAGCAACAATTGGAACAACAAACACAAGCAAATTTCGCCAATTATGAAAATTTTCCTCTAAATTCCCCGACAAATGGAAATTTTGGAATGTTTAGTAAAGGGCCAACAAGTCGATTTGCTGGTAAAATTAATTTGGCTTTTTATCATTTTATTAGAGTGTACCCCTAACGCTCGGCTTGTCGGGGTACGGGGTTTGCTCCGACCTCCCATGAATGTCAGGGTAATCCAATTGTGTATGGTTACGGAGTTTCATGAAAGAAATTTTTTAAAGGAAAAATGTTGCAAATATTACCCGCGGTCAGTATTAATTTATCCAAATATCAAGGAGGATTTGATGGATTAAAGGGATATAATGGAATCTTAAGTGATTAAGTGGGATTTCAAGGGTTTAAAGTGTATATCTACGGATATAAGGGGATTTGGAAAATTAAGGGTGGTTTCAAGCTATATCAGTGACAAACACAAAACTACTTTTCATCAATTACTTTATCTTATTCTTATGACAAGCATTAACTCACATTAATATCCTGTAAATTTTAGCCATCAAGAATTCAGCAATATCAGGATCAATGCCACTAATCCATTCGAATTCTTCCGGCAATTTATTGTACCAGCATCCCAATAGCAAGATGAATAATGTAAATTTAATTTAAAATCTATATGAAATATTCCTGGACTACCTAATAATGTTTATTTTCAAAAAAATATACACTTTTACAGGAGAGATATGCTGATAGTGTTTTTGATCATCCAAAATCGTTCAATTTTAAAAAATCCACAATAATGCCATCTGATATTATGTTTGGAGCGAATGAAGTGCTCGATTTGAGTGATAAGGAATCCTCAGGTAAATTTACGTAATGTTGTATCTAATCCTTCCTCCGGAAGGAATGGGAATGAAATGACTGTCAGTTATGTCCTGCTTGGACCTCATTCCTTAAAATCGTAAAATAGTGGTTAACTTTACTTAACAAATATTATAAAATCCACATAAATGTAGGTAGCTTTCCTGTTGTGTAAACATATTTTCATGTTTTTGGTTAGCTTATTCAAGCTTCCGCTTTATTTAGCTTTTATTATAGTCCTATTTTTTACTTTTACATACATATTACACTTCATGTTTTCAGGGCCGCACACACCGCCCGGCTTTTACCAAAATCCTATTGTTCCAAAATGCTGTCTTGGCAATCAGTGGGGATCGTTAACATCATCACATCATAATCATGAGAATTCAATGTGGCCGTCTACTGTTGATTCTCCAGAATTGAAGACAAATCAGCATAAAGAAGTCCTGCCCTCATTCAGTTTGTTTGGACCAGAAAATTTTAATAATAGTGTTAGTGGAAGCGGTGGAGATTTATTAAATATTTGTGGTTCAAAAAATATGTTAAATGGAAGTTATTGTAGTAGCGGGAAACGATCACCTATTATGGGGGAATTTATGAACGGGTTGTTGTCAGGAAGACGTTCATCTCATACGCCTTTATTGGATGAAGGTGGGGGAGAATCTGCTCAGGCAATGTTAGATATGTTATTAGAACCTGGAAGTATTCAAAAGGTTAATAATCATAGAGCAAATCGTTCAGTTGAAGTTTTATCAAGAGCTAAAGGTTTTATTTATGCTCAACTATGTGGGGGTTATAAATGCTTCTCTAAATTATTGCCCTGGCCCTTTGATCGAATTTTAAGAACACATTTGTGGGGCCTATCAAGTTTCGTTCACCTTATTCGCTTCAAGGAATAAGGCCCTCTTATATCCCTCTAAGTCTCAATCCCTCCAATACCTCGAAGCTATACTTCAATTAACCCATCTTCAGTTTTAGATAATACAGGGGAATTATCAGCTATTGGCGCGGAGAAAAAAGCTGCGGATTTATTAAAAGTATTATCTCCGTCCTCAAATAATTCATGGGAGGTCGGGGCACGTTCAACTGGAGCTTTAAATAAACAATTTGAATCAAAATTGATTGAGCAATTTGGACCTCCGCCAGGATTTGAGCCTAAAGGGAAAGATATTGGAGGAGAAAAACAGTGTAAAGATGTTGGGTTGTCAATTAAACATGAAATTTTGAAAAAGAATGAGGTGTCGATAAAACACGAAATTTCGATAAAACATGAACTGTCAAAAAGTGACGAGATGTCAATTGACCGTTTAATTAGAGAAAAAGTTGGAAAATTGCCAGTAGTAAATTGTCTGTTTGGAAGACATGGGTCAAACGATTCTACTGAAAAGTTAAAAAATAATTGTGGATTTGAGAAGGAAGAAGATAAAAAAGTTTTGGTCTGTTTGATGACTCCTGAATTTTTGCTTTATATAAATTTTTTTATTAATTTTGAATTTTTAGAATTCGACAAATAGTGATTATAATGGAGGTGTAGCAATACCTACAAAATCTAGTGGAGATGATCGTTCTGTTGATAACGATTCTTGTTCGCCCATATATGGAAGTTCCTTCCCTACAACAGCGCCGATATCAAACGCCAATTTCCAGCAAATTAGTGAGCTAAAAGGTTCTTTTAAAAACAAACTATGTATAATAATTCAGATCAATTCCAAAATGAATATCCTCCATTGGAAACGTCACCATACGGTTCAAACAGTTCACTTCGAACGCAAGTCACCTCAAACATTGTCAGCTCACTTCGAAAAAATCTTGAGCAAATATGGACATCTAGGTTCGTATTATTAAGTGTATTCCTTCTATGGGAGTATTAAGGTTGCCCTCTATACCGTATTGCGTTTAGTAAAATTATCCCTCAATTTGAATAGTCCCTCTAATTGTATGTCGCCTTTTGTGGGTATTGTTAAAAAGAATGACTGTCATTCAATTGGAGAGAATATGGATATCCTGGAGGGTATCATTGTGTATCTATCTACGCTAGAGATCGCAAAGAAAGGCTTTGGGACAAAATCTTGGTTATCGAGATCAAACTATCGTTCTCGACTAACGCACGACCATCCGTAACCCTCCAACCGTCGTCTCACTCTAAGTTATATTATAGTCGAAAACATCCTGAAACTTTTAACGTGATTCTTCTCTAACTTGACTATTTTAAAAAAATTTATTTATAGTTTGCCAGAGATTGATCAAAATTCTACTAGTAGCAACACTAAACAAATAGATAAAATAAATTCAAATAAACTTGAAGAAACTGATAGTAAAACTACAGTGATTGAAACAACAATAACTTCTAATAATGAAACTAATAAAAGCAGTGTCACAAAATTGTGTTATTCCGATGTTGTAAAGAAGGCAGTAAAAAGTGAGGAAATTGAGGTTCTTGGGCAAGAAATAGAAATTATTGGGTTGCCATATGAGACTGGAAAAGATGGCAATTTGAATAAAAATTTTGAGCCTGGAAGTGGGAAACAAACTTGGGCTATGCGTGCAATTAGAAAGGTTATAGGGAATTAAATTTTTTGAACAAATCTTTCAATTTAAGTCGTGTCTTGGTGGGAAATCTACATCCACGCCTTCTCTTTCTCGTTCTGTTTCTATGGGGGTTGAACAAATTGTTAGCAAGATGGAAAGTAAATAATATTTAAAGGGTTATGTAGTTAAATTATGTTTTGTTGCATAAACTTGCGGGATAATCAGAACGGATTTTAGCCCCATGAGATGAAAAACTTGCCTTGACCCTTGGTCTTGACTGACAAAGAGTATTCTTGGAGTATTCTTCGAGTATTCCTAGGGTATTCTTGGACTATTCTTTGGGTCTTCTGTATTTTCTTTATTCGGGTTGGTCTTCGTTTTCTAGGAGTCATGGCCTTGTTTCAGGCAAGTTTTTCGGTTTCAGACGTCTTAGTCAATTCCAATACCTACCTATTTTTAAATGGTAGATTTTTACCTAAATTTACTTTTGTAATTTTTCCGCAAGTTTATGCTTTGTATTATTTTTCTTGCGGGTTTTTATCTTATTCTTTCTAATAGAATGACCTCTGGGTGATTTGTCAAATGTGGCACTTCTTTAGGGCATTTACAAAAATATACATATGACAGTCATTCTATTAGAGAGACGTTTTTTACTCTGTATAAGTTGGGATTTCTCATTTTTTATGGACACCTAGGTTTAGATTATAACCCCTGGGCCAATTATCTCAATTTTTAAGCCAAAATTCGCATTTTAATTTAACCCAGGTATTTCCTCAAACTATTTTTCAATTCCTCATATTTACATACCAATCCCGGTTTTATGTAATTTAAATATTTTAAATTTAGTATAGATTATGCATAAATATTTATCGTAATTTTTTGTTCTGTAAAAAGTAAATATTTGTATATATAGTTTGAATAATTTTCATCGTTTTTTCACCGGAACTGAAATTTTGATCCGTCCCCTGCTTCGGAGGAGGCTTTTTTTGTTTAAAAACATTTGTCTAATCGTTACAAAAAAAATTTTCTATTAAGTATGAATTTCATTTCCCTCACTCTCTACCAAAAGGTTGAAAAAATAATTATCGAGTCAGTTTTAGTATAGATACAATAGAAATGATTGTTTTTGATTTAGACTTTCGAAAATTCAAATTTATAAAATCATTCCATCATCTTATTTCTTAATGGATTTTGACGTGGATATATAGTTGTAACAACTTGAACATTTGTATCAATACTTGAACTGGGGTATATGATTGGCATTCGTTTAAACAACTTTGGAATCCAAGGAAATTCTTTGTTCAGAGCAGTTCGATATTCCGAGCTGTAATTTTAACAAAATTTATTGGACAAGTTATAAATTTATATCCTCAAACAAATTTCTTTACCTACAAAAATACAAAACTGGGGCGTTGATTGCACCGGAGATTGTTATGAGCTGAGCAAAAAGACGAAAATAGAGAAAGCTCATCTCTGGATCATTTGTTAATAACGGGACAATAAATTGATTACAGAACGTTCCAAACAAGGTTAAGAAAACTATGACAAATATTATAACTACAAGTGATTTATATATCCGTTGCGTTTGAAGACGTTGAAAGTTTGAATCCCCACTTTGCCACACTGAAAAATTAACAGGTTAAAATCTTAACAATTATCAGGACTTGCGGACTACAGATTTTAAAATTAAATAGCGAAATGCAGATTGAGGCTGCGGACATTTTTCAACCGAGTGCACACCTGATTCGCATATAAAGCATGCATTTGCATGTTTGGTTGTCTCTAATGATTAACTTTGATGATTGTTTAGTGTATCCGGTCCGTATGAGTGTGAGGTATGATTGTAAAGAGAAAATCCGATCCGGTATCAGATAATTAATGATCAGACTTGGTAAGGGTGTGAAATCCCAAAATCCTGTTTCTGGACATAAATGATTTTTAAATAATTTTTTCGCGCATTATTGTTAAGAAATGAATAAAGCATCCGAAACAAATAAATCAAGCGACCGATCCATTAAATTAAACATACATTTGATAATAATCCCGATGACAATATAATTAAATAAAGTAGCCAAAATAATCGCAATTGACATGTACATAGCAAAACTAAGAATATCGCCTCCAATTTGTTCTGGAGTATTGCAATAAACTTTTCTATAGAGTAATAAAGAGTTTAGATTTTCATTTTTAAAAACATACATATCTGGATTTTCAAGAGCATAGTTAAAACCAATAATCATAAAAATAAAGCAGTAAGTCAAAGAAACTGTATTGAGAAC